TGTGTGTGTGTGTGTGTGTGTGTGTGTGTGTGTGTGTGTGTGTGTGTTCAGATGAGTTGCTGGATTCCCACCACAGCAGCTCTGACCTGGCAGATGTAATGGAGCAGATTAACAACTCCTTCCCTGCATGCAGTCGTAAGTTTCGTCCTTCTCCCCCGCCGTGTCTTCTCAGCCTCTGTAGGCAGATTTGTGTTTTCGCCACAAGGACGCTGGTCAGCAGAAAAGTAGTGCACGTCACTCCGTTTAACTGTTCATACTTCGTACCCTGCAGGGGAAAATATTGTGTAGCGAACCAGATATGGGAATGACCCAGATTTTTACCCTTCTTATACAGCAATACATTTTTTCCTCTCTATATTTGTCTATAAAAAGTCAGAAATAGTAGGAAACTATTTTTCGCCATCGCAATTACCTAAACTCCAATATGACACCTTGAAATCACTTGTTTATCTCTACCAACAGTCCAAAACCCAAAGATATTCAGTTAACTGATGTATATGACAAAATATAGCAGCAAATCCTCATTAAAAAGCTGGAAGTAAAGAATGTTTTGCATTTTTGCGTGAAACAAAACTGAGATGATTGATCAGTTATCAAAATAGTTGCTAACCCTCATTTTAGGGCTTTGCAATATTGAGAATATCAAGATATTATTTACCAAATACCTCAATATTGATATTGCGATGATATTGTAGAGTTGACTATTGGTGCTTTTTGAGTAGCGTAAATAATACATCTACACATGACATGCCTTTACAGTAATGTAGCCAACAAACCAGGATGAGACGACACTTATTATCAGATCCAAAATGTAAATCGATATCTAGTCTCATATCCTGATATGATGCACATATTATCGTTATATTGACCAGCCCTACCTGATTTAATGGACTAAACAGTTCATCGAAAAAAGTGTCCGTTTTAAGCTTAAATCTTCTCTCCTGTTACGTTATATTTATTATGTTATTATTAAACCAATATTCAATTGGAATCTGTAGATATGTTTGTTATAAGATACATCTCATACATTTGTAAGTTTATTTTGTTTATCCACGTTCGTACTTCTTACACCTGTGACATCTTCTATGAGTTGTTGCAGCAATAAATGAAATAGAAACAGGAAATTGAGGCCGGGGAGAAACGGTGGTTCCGTCCTGAGGCAATCAATATAATCTACAATTTCATTTTGAGTCATCGTCCACCTTCTAATTGTCTCCTTTACTTCCTCTCACTGCTTTTGTTGATCCTTTTGTCTTCTCTGTCCTCTTTCACCACCTCACATAGTGCTGCATTTTTTTATTTTTTTTTTATTTTTATTTTTATTTTTTTTAAACCTCATAGTGTCATTGGACTTTGTTGATGGTGTGTGTGTGTGTGTGTGTGTGCTGTGGGTTGTAAATAGTAGCAGCTGGAGCTATGTCTTGTCCTGTATTTCATTGGAGTGTGGTACATAGAGTGTGCTTTTCCTATAACTATTATCAAGGTTTCTGCAGTGCATGCTGGTTCCTCTGCATTGTGACTTGTTTTGATTCTGATGAAGTGCTTTCTCAAACACATAGATTTTAAATACAGCCGGGAAAAACCTTTGACCCTCATTACTCTTTAAGGCAGAATTTGAAGGAATATCCACCTCTGGGAATATTCATCAAATAGAGAAATAAACGAAAAAGGTGTGAATAGCGAGTTAGAGCTCACTGACTTTAAATTGCATTCAAATTTTACAATCAAAGCTCCAATGAGAGCTTTAGTTAAAAAATCCATTCTAATCTGGCAGAGTAGACGCTCCGGCATTGTAAGCATTTGGTTGCTGAACAGCTCCGAGGCAGCAGAGAGCTGAGTGTGTGCATGAATATGCGGCAGGCTGATAATTTAAACGGAGATGAACTGGGGAATTCAAGTGTTAAACCGCTCTATTGTCTCTTTGCTTTGTCTTCCACAGCTTCGAGCCTCTCCTCGAGACCACAGGTAAGACGGGGTTCTTCCACAATAGTTCTCTAAATCAGTCTGCATTTGCAGCTTGTGTGGAAGGTACTTTCTGCTTTTCTGTGTGTGTTTTCACGGGTTTGAGTAATTGGCAAAGGTAAGAGAACTTTGAGCAGTGCTACATTTTAGAGGTAATTACAGCTGCTGTCACAAAAGCAGCCCGCCTCCATGTAGCCTTCACCTGCCTCAGCCATCCACATTTGGTGGCCTGTGAGAAAGAAACAACAAATGGATCTCTCTGGAGTGCCATTAGCTGCTCCTCTCGTTCCCCCAGTCGGAGACCAAGGTGCATTTTGGGACGGAGGTGTTGTGAAAGCCCTTGCCACTGACCCTTTCAGGCTGCAATTTTTTACCCGCTCTGGTGCTTCTCCCCTCCCACCATTCTTTACTTTCTCTCACTGTATTTTTTTTTAGACTGCTCAGCTTGTTTCTTCACACACAGCTAATACCTTTCAATGTCCTTATTTGCTATTGATCCGTTTGTGGTGGCTGGAGACGGACAGCGGACACATACTTTCCCTTTTATTTCTACTTCCTCTTTGTTAACCATTACTCTTTAGCTTTTCAGCATTTTTCACCTATAAATTGAAGTTAAGTCAAGTTCAACATGACTGTTGTAAAGCCCACAATACACACTTTGTACTCAGTACACTTAGGAGATGAAGTGAACCAAATGTCTTACATCTCCTCAGTCTTACTGGTATTTAGTTGAATCATCCTTTCACTTTTTCCTTTTTTTCATTGTCCTTGGCAAACGCTTTCTATTGGTTTTCACACAAAGGCATGGGTGAATAGGTTTGAGTGACTAATTCCACTTCTGAGAAGACAGCTATGTTTTGTAAAATCTCTCCTGCATCATCCCCGCCCACCTCCTCCCTTTCCTCCACACTGAGCTCCCTAATGGACTGCAACTGGCATGAGGGACCGCAGTCCATTTACCAGCTTTCAAATCCGATTACTTTGTTCGGACATCTGATATTTCCACCCAGAGATGTCTTGATCAGAAACAATGAGGCGGGTTTACCTCCTTCACTTGGGCTATGAATAAAAAAAGACAGGAGTACTAACGAACCCTACAGGCGTGCACCGTGTGCACCGTTTTTTTTTAATACCTCACTTTTGTTGTCTGATCCGACTTGAGGATTTCACGTTTGTGTTCTCTGTTTTGCAGGTATTGTGAGCACAGTCACCACAGAGGATGCCGCGTGCGTGTTTGTGCGTGCACACATGTGAGTGCGTGTGCACAGTAAGTGTCGGAGGAGACAGAACCATTCCCAAACAAACAATCCCCCCCCCGATCCCAAAGACGCACAGGACCAGACAACTTAACTACTTTTACCACCTTGTCTTGTACTATGCAAACTGTACATTTTATGAACTGTAGATTGTACCTGAACTTGGTTCAACATTTGTCAGTGATTTGTTTAGATATGCAGATGAGTATATGGACACGGGGCTTTGTATAGTAAAAAAAATGTGCTTTTGTTTTTCCAGAGGGTTGTTTGAGATTTGTATTTCGTTCTTGTTAAGTTCTGCCCTCACTGGGTATCAAACTGTTACATATGTTGTCATTCCACTGCTTCATACCCTCCAGTCCCCCACTTGCAATTTTTTTTGTCAAAGGAAGTAGCCACAGGTTTCCATGTTTGGGAGCACGCACAGTTCCTGAGTAATAACATCTAGTGGCCGAAAGGATTATCGTTTTGAAGACTGTCACTTTTCAAACCTGTGTTTTGTTTTGAAAATCTATCTTGTAGCATGCTCGATGTCAAGTTCCCCTTTAAAGCATTGATATGGCGGCAGACTTTGTGTCCACTGCGATTTGTTGATATAAACTTTACCCCTTCTGTGCCTATACAGTTTGTCATTCCACGTGTGGAAGACAGAGATAAGAGTTGAAAAATGAAAGTGGGTTTGTGTACAAAGAGTGAAGTTTTGGAGAATAAAGGTTTTAATCTAAAGTTGTTCTGAATTTGGGTTTGTAAGAGGCCCGCCGTCATGTAGAATAGCTTTTTTTGGTTTTTTTAAAGATATATGTTCAGAAATCAGAGGAAAGCCATGATTGCCTTGCTACCTCAGACTCATAGACACAGTTTTGTTTTTGTGGTTTGTTGTGATCATTTACAGAACAAGAACAACCTGGTTTAGCTTTCTAAGCTTTAGCTTACTGTATTGGTGTACACTGCAACGAGGAGATGCCAAGTAAAAAGAAAAAGAAAATCTATTACTGTACCACAATGGGTCTGTGGCCTGATGAAGCTAGCCGTGCGTTATGACGAGTATTACTTTATCTGATGTTAGTTTTTCCACTGGCCTACTAGCACTGGTCCCTCACTGCGTTGTGTTGTTGTGCTATATGCTATCCTGTAAAACTTGTGAGACTGAACAACACTACTATAACCTCCTCTGACTGTAGACTAATGATGATGATGATTTTAATGATTCCAATCATGATGGACAGTACCACAGCAGAACTGTGTCGCTTCTCCTGAGGTATGTAAAATAGATTGACCACACTACGTGTAATATGGCTACGTTTTATTCTAAATAAAATTTTTATAACAAGTGTGTCTCCCCTCTGCATTGCTTTACTTAATGTAATTGTTAGGCCTGTAATAGTAGATTGAGACTGTAAATATTCAAAGTTAATAAATCCCTTAACTTTCATAAACACTGATCAGAAATTCAATTCCACTACTTGAAGTGTTTTCATATGCAGCACTTGCCTTGAATTTAAACCATCTATTGAGAAATTCGGGCCTCATTACTGCCAACGCTTCAGTATCATCCAGCCAGGACCGTAGCGTTACTATTTATCAAAGGAATTGATCATGCAGTGAGAGGTTGTGTCATTATTACACGTTTGCAGTTAACATGCTGAGCTGTTACTGAGAACTCCAAATGAATGATGAAAGGTAATTAGCCTTTATTGCCTTCCATTTTTTTTCCTCTCAATTGAGCAGCATTACTCTCTTGTGGCTGCATGCATTGATTATTCTTGAAGGTTGCGCAATGTTGGATTTAAAGACATTTAGCTTGGTTTACCTTGGCCGTGCTGTCACTTGTTGCTGGTTATAAATCAAATCTGACTAGACAAGTCATTTGAAGGTGTAAAATCAGCTAATTTTAGCAATCTGTCAGACTTCAATATGTCCAGACAGGAAATTGCCTGCACTCTGGTTGCAGTTATTGGACCACAAATGGGTTGTTTCCTTCCTTTAACTGCATCGGCACGTCCTAGTTGTATAACCATGTCCTCTCCACTACAGTACTGAGGAAATATTGATGACTAACATATCAATCCTTTGATTGTGTCCATATTGTTTTTTGTTGTGGCACCTGTGCAAATTCAACACAAATAAAAGTAACTTTTCCATGCCAAGTTTTTTGTTAATATCACTCCCTGTCATATGGTCCAGCCATAACACACTTCAATAATGCAAAGTGGAAGTGCACGCTAATTGGATCTGACTCGCATCCTCCTCTGGGCTCCCTGGGGTGCCTTAATTAGTCTGCCACTCCCATTTCTGTGATGCACTGCAGGAATCGGCTTGTTTGTAAAGGCAAAGAAGTTTAAGTAACAAACTAGCATACACAAGAGAGAGGTGGTACTTATTGCTCACTGGATCCCGTGATAGAAAGAAGTGCACTGGTATTGTTATTAATATTAATGTGACCATAAGTCTCTGTGTGAAGGAGGATTTGGTTTAATTACTGTAACAATCTAATGTGCTCATATGAAACTTAGTCAATTTATCAGCCATCTTTCCAAAGTATTTTAATCCTTACAAAGCTCTCTGGGAATTAGTGCATTAAACTGTCTAGCTCCAGTGAGGTGCAGTCTGCTTGCTAGACTGAGCAAAGATTAGTATTCCGCAGTTCAACAAAAACACAATTCAATTAGTGGATATTTTAATAATAATGTAACAATTTTGAAAGTGAAATTCCATGGCACTCCAAATGGAGATCAAAGGTCAGCCCTGCTGCTGGTAGGAATGCATTGAGTCAGTGCTGCCCAATCACCAACCTGGTCGGTAATCAAGAATCCGAATACCACCTGGGATTTTATAATTGATTTAATCTACAGGAAAGTACTCTCTCAAAATTGGCTTGGATTAAATGCGTTTGTTGTTGCTGTACCCTTGACAAACAGTTATTTTCTGCCTAATAAGTTGCTAAAGAAAGTTTCCTTCCATCAGGAGAACTGGTATTTATAAATTGTTATGCTTTAGTAACTTGATTGTTTGGTTAGCTCAAATTACTAAATGACCCTCTGCAACCCTGGATCAGCCTGGAGGCACCTCGACTCCACAGCTGTAAGTTTTTTTCCGAAGAAAGTAGAAGTTGACAGATTTTAACAGTGATATAAATCTTGTTCAGGGGTTCCACGTGTGGTCCACTGTTGTTTAATTTAAACCTTTCTTTAGTATAGTATTTTGTTTTAACATGCTAAAGTGAGTTTAAAGATAAACTGAGGTCAGGTAAGTTAAAGCCCAGATTCTTTTGAAGCTGACACAAATTATTTCTTTTCCAGACATGTTGATGTCATATCCCATTATATATGCCATTATTTTTTGTAATTGTTTTGTGGGAACCTATTTATTTAATTTGATAGATTTATTGATCGCTGAATATTGTATTAAACTCGGTAGTGCCCAGACCATGTTTGCTAAGGCAGCTGAGAAGCTTGTATGCATGTAACCTACTGAAGAAGCCCTGTGTCTGAAACTGCTCTGCTAATTTAGTTTTTACTTTATTTAGATTATTAAACCCAACAAGACAGCAAGACAGCAGTGGCTCTTGTTTCTCTCAACTCCACACTTGTTTAAGACCAGACCAACTACACATGCATGCACAAGTAAGTCACTATGCAAGTAACCTCTTGGGTGATAAAGTAAAAAAGGTTTAAGCTTAACAAAAACTTCTGATGCAATATATATCTTCCCTATATTATCCGTCTATTTAACACCCTATCATCAATGATATTCCCAGTTCCACAGTGGCCTCCAGTGCCTCCTTTTTAGTAAAGGTGCCCTCTTTGCCAGTAAAACATTTACCCTGACCCTGTCTGTGCTCCACATGCAGAGTAAATACTACACTACAGGCTCTCTCGTATCCTGTGTATATGAGCCTCTCACAGGATAACCCACAATATCAAATCTATTTAATTCCCTTGTCCTTTTGTCCTTAAACTCCTCTGAGCATCACCATCTGTGATCTGCTTGTTCTCTTTTGTGGGGTAAAAACAGACTACGACGATTCCCCCGGGCTTTGGCCGTACGGCCTCAGCTGTCCACCGGCCGACCATCCAACCAAATTTTTTGGATGGCACAGTGCTGGATGGTTAGTTCCTTCCCCCTTCCTCAGCCCTTTTTCTCATTCATGCATCAACCCTGGCTGGCATGCAGATCCGTTCGACAGCTGTCCTCTTTGATCAGATGCTTGGCAGGCAGCGACAGAGCCAATGGTATGGTGGGTGTCTTGGCGGGTAGCTGCTCCTGGCACAAGGCGAGTGGCACAGAGGACGGGGAACAGATGTTGAGGACGGGGAGGCAAGACCCGTCCGGGATACGGGATAGAGGCTGGACTCGAGAGGAGTCAGGGAAAGAGGAAGGGAGGAGTACAAGACAAGCAACCTAGAGGGGGGGAGAAAACACTGATCAGGAGATTACTAGAGGTAGTTTCATTTTTCATTATTGCTATTATGTTAGCAGTTGAATCTCTTTCTGCTTACACAGTGCTCCTCTATGTAAATGTTCCAGCTCACACTAACTTGAGATAAACCCGTAGCCTAATGAACCTCCCGGCTTTAACAATTCCCTTGCCGTGCTTATCTGCTGAAGTTTATCGTCCTTAGTGCACTCCAGATCTCCAGAATATGCTGCGTGTGCATAGTGAGTTAGCGTTAGCACCATTTTAGCTCTCTCTTTGACAATTAATTTGAAGTATCTAACTGCACAGGACCTTCTCCTGGCAGGGCATCGACGTGGGGTTTAAATTTTGAATGCCTCAGGGAATATTCTGGGAATTTGTCCCATGTCAGCATTTTCTTCTGTGGGCTTTAAAGAAATGAAATGGAGAGCAAAACCTGATATTTTAAGTATACTTTCTTCAATCACTTTTATGTACTTCATTTAGAGCCAGCCTTAATATGTCACAGTGCATTCAGCTTTCAATGTCTGACCTCTACTCTTAAACAGCCCTGCTTTAACTGGAAATTGCTTTTTTCAAATTTATATATTTTTCATTTTTACTCGTCTCTCACTACCCAGAAAAATTGCGATAAACTGTATTATTGTCATTTTAAGAACATTTTATGCCAGACCAATGAACCTTTAATTCTTAAGAAAATTCAGATATTTGAAATGGAATATGAAAAAAATATGAAAATATCCTAAATACATAAAACACATTTAACCACACAACAAAAAACAATAAATAAAATTAACTCTCAAGCTCCGTTAATGGAAATGTGCAATGTGTGCACAATTCCTATAGTTTTATAATGTTAATGTTTGTTCTGGCATCCTGTTGGCTAAAATGTAGGCGACATTCTTATGTAAACCAACATGCATGTAAACACAACGGGCAATATTGATGTCAGCCTAAATGATTGAGGTCTTGTCCATGTATCGTACAATAAGTAGATAAATATTATTGTCACAGGCCTAGTTATCAGTTGCCTTGCTGGCTGCCTTATTATCTTATTTAAAGGCAGTCATTTGCCCCAATCCATATGCTAACATTATTCACCCCTCTTTAGACACGTATGGCTATTACAGATACACAAACACAGATTCTGTACACACGCACTTGTATTGTTGCATTACACCTATTTTACCTGCTTTTCTCTCCAAAGCAAAGATGACTGTACCAAGCTTTCTCAGACAGAATTCCCCACGGGCTCTTTCAGGATGCCTGGTCAGGGCCAAGGACTAATGAAGGGAGACAACCGAAATTGGTGCGTCTGAAATTAGAGCAGTGGGAGGTGTGTGGGGAATCAGTCAGTATCTTCCCAGTTTCATTACAGCATGGACCATTAGCTGCTGACAGATCATTGACATTCCTGGTCACGATGTTTAGAGCCCTGCTGCCACAATGGCAGTATGAACCAATCATGCCACTTGTAAACACAGACGCTAATGAAATTTGATGGGCCTTTTCAATTGGCTGAAAGATTCATGGGAAATATGGAATGGATCTTTGATGTGTTGCATATAGGGAAAAATGAATAATAACCACAGTATTCACCATTTTGTGCCAAATGATTGCAGTTTGATTTGCATATTTCCTTGTATGTCGGAAAGCCGTCGGGTGCCAGGTGATTTTCCTCGCACCTTTGCTTTCATGACAAACCATCTGCCGGAAGATGGTCTAATGCTCATCACACCTCTGTGGCTGACAGGTTGTGGTTGATGCACCCCAACAGTTTGCCACTATTCTGCAGATTGTGAATAAGAAAACACTCTGAATTATTAAAAGATCGCTTTTGGCCATGCTACTCAGAGCCCAGTTGCCATCAGTATGTTGAGAGTAATATACTGAATGTTGTGTCCACCAAGTGATAG